CTAATTTTGGTATCAAAATGGACGACTTTTGTGTCGGTTGCAGAAAAAAGTAATTTACCAATTCAAGAGTGAAGGTCTTCAAAATCGATCAAAAAATAATGATTTCACAGTTCTTATTGTAAGAACGCACTGTAGATCTCGTGACGTCAGTAGCTGTCGTATACCAACGAGAAGGTTTTTGCGAGAATTAATTCTGAAAAAACAACTGGAATGAATTATTCTTTCTGATTTTTGTTTATTGTGATGAAAGTTATATCGCCAATTAGTTTACATTATTTCATGGAATTAATTAATATGCAAGATTTTATATGTATTAATTATGGATATACCTAATATATCTACTACCTTGACCAATGATATATGATAAAGGAATGTTTACATAAAATTATGAAGAAACAAGAAAAATCAGTCCTTGTGACAACTGTTTCTATTCTGTACCGAAGATAACCTAGATCACCTGAATGTGAAAAACTGGAGGATATTCACCTTATCATTATCTACTTTTTGCTTACGTTATGTATGCATAATATGTATGTTTTTTATCTGTTCTTCCAACTAGTCCATCTGTTTGTTATGTCCATATATTTACATTAATTTTGTTATTTCTATCGCCAAAATTCGGGAACCTGACCTGTCATTCTGGTATTACATAAAATGATTGAATCACGACCAGAGTCTATCCACCTATTATAAGCTGCTCAACAATTGAAACGTGACGATACATCATTTTGCTATAATTTGTATAATTTTTTAACTTCTAAATAACAAAGGAGATTACGTTTTTCTTTTCAGTATCAAGACATTATATTTAATTGGGGCATTTTTATAGCATTGGTTCCGACCAAATTATACTTAGATGCAACAAATTTCGTGATTCTAGGATCAATGGTACCTAATAAATATAATTAATGAAAACTGGATTCAAGCTCCTACCTTCAAAGGGCTGTAAAGCTTAGGAAATATTTTCAGGCACACGTTGACAGGAGTATTTTTAATTATTTTTAACTGAAGAATTACCTCACGGAGTATACGAACGATATTCTGGGACACCCTGTATAACCCATTGATTCTTTGCAGATGAATTCTGATGTATGAAACAAAACCTATTTAAATCATTTACAGACAACGAATACTGAATGATGCCAAATGAATGAATTGATTACATACACAATGTCGATGTCTGATTCAGTTCAGTAATTCAATTCAGATACAATTATTGTTGACCTATATACAGGGTGAGTCAGATATTTGTAGCAGGACTTCAACAGCACAAAAAAGATACTATGTTGAGATAACGCAGTCTCATGTAAACATACAGTGTTTCTCACTCCTAATAGAAGCACCCCTGTATCTTACGTAATTGTTGAATAAGGCTTCTGAAATTTGTAGGAATGAGAGGTATACCAAAAATACACTCTATGACGAACTGGGGCCATCTTCAATAATATAGACTGCTCGCCAGCACCGATGGAACCAATCACATTTCCGGAAAATGATATTAGGAGGCAATATAGGTTGAGAATCACTTTGGATTCAAAATTAGTGCGCCCAATTCACAACCTTTTCATATTTTTCCTAGGAAATTTTCCGTTCTGAAAAATTGAATTTTGTCTCACTTTTCATATATATGCACCTTTTCTTACGTAATTATTGGGGTAGGATACTGCAATTCGCAGAAGGAAGATGGAGTCCGAAGATACAGTCAACGACTACTTGACATTATCAACAATGATCTACACTGCTCACCAGCAGCAATGGAACTACCCACATGGGTGCTGGTGAGCAGTGTGAATCACTGGTGATAATCTTATTCAATTATTGACTGTATCTTTGATCTCTTCCTTGCTTCTGCAAATTTCAGAATCCTACCTCAATAATTACGTAAGATACGAGGGTGCTTCCATGAAAACTGAGACAAAATTAGAGTTTCAGAATTCATAATTTCCTTGGAAAATATAATAAGTTAGTGAAGTGGACGTCCTGATTTCGAATCTGAAGTGATTTTCAACCTATCTTGCCTCCTAGTATCATTTTCTGGAAATGTTGGTGGTTCCATGGGTACTGGCGAGCAGTGTATATTACCGAAGATGACCCCACTTCGATATAAAGTGTATTTTTGGTATACCTCTTGCACCTGCAAATTTCAGAGTCCTCTCTCAACAATTACGTTAGATACAGGGGTGCTTCCATTGAAAGTAAGACACACTGTACAGATGTGATAATTTAATATATTTGTATGTGTTCATTGAAGTTTTACACTGAATTTATATGAAAGCTTTCGATCCTTTCAGGATGTTCCAGGTCTTCAGGTCAATTAATAATGAATAGAAAAAATAAAGTTTCATTACAAGTAAATTATTCTTACATCAGTTTTCGAAAAACATATGAAAGAGCAGAAAGTATCCAAATGGAAGAGAGAATCTGAATTGATGTCTAATTGAAAGCAGAGACAGCACGAAAAAAAGTTCAAGAGGGTTAAATTGGGTACAGCCCCCAAAAGTGTATCACACTGTAGTTAATCAAAAACGAGTTCCGAGTGTAATAACCGTACCAGATTCAAATTCATCATTTTGAAAACTTAATAAAACATTGAAAAAATCTCTCGCTGTATATTGGACACGAAGCTCCCACGCATTTAGGTTCACATGAAATTTTCATCTTAAAAATATTTCTTTTCCAAGCTGTTAAAGTCCTGCTAGAAATAACTGACTCACCCTGTACATAGGAAGATCTCAATATAAGGCAAAATAATCTAAATAACGGTATTTTAATACCTACCTGCTCTCCCTATCCTCCCTTGGTTGTTCGTCGAACATAATAGGAATTCGCTTTTGTGCGCTCCGAATGATTGAAGAAAGAACTAAGAGACTTTTTTATTGTTCTGGGAGAAGGACGATGACGATATAAATTGAGGGGATTTGGGAGATGCAGATTATAAATCTCCTGAAAATGGGCTTTCACAATCTCTTCCAGAATTTCAAGAATATTGCTTCATTAATTACTGAGATATTAGAGTGTATTCATGAAAAAACGGGAGATACTTTGGATTTTCAATTTTTCTTATCCAGAAGGTTTGAAATGCATTATTCCTTAGATTATATTATCCGAGATATTATCCTTTCGTTTTCAATTCGGGCTTGTTCAATGCTTAATTACGAACAGCCTAACTTCAAGATATCATGGAAATAAGGCTAATCAGTATATAAATAACTGAAAAGGGATATTCTCAGATAAAATTATAAACATGAAAAAATGGAAATATAAACTGCTCAACACATAAATCGTATTTTTTCGATCAAATTTTAATCATCATAACTTTCGATTTCCTTAACCGATTTTCAATTATTTTTCAGTTCCTGTAAGCTCGTTTCATTGACTATCGAACCTATGGATATGACTATATCATCTTTTCCGGATCAGATTCTACAGGATGATAATCAAAGATATGCATTTTTCTAAAAATTTCAAACGCCTCCCGCTTGAAAGAAAAATGTTTCTATTTTTTTTTGGGGTCTAAAACATATTGCTTCTTATGATTTCTCGATACTGTAAACAAATTTTTAGAATTGTCACACGCGTTACTGAAATATGGATGTTTTATTGAGATAATGCATAATTTGATGCTCTAATTTCTATTGACTTTGTGTTCCTGTCAATCTGGTTCGAGTTGAAAATATCAACTGTTTCTCGGTTTATCCAACAGAAAACAACTACCTACTTTCCTGGCTATATGCCACGACGAACATTGAATTACATCTATTGAACATACACGATAAGAATTTGAAAACAAAGTCTTCTGAAGTAGAGAATTTGCATTCTCCTTAATATAAAGATAAGCAACATAATGTCATTCTGAATATCCAACAGAAAACAACTACTTTCCTGTCTATTTTTTTCTTTCTTTGGAAGTTCCAAGCTCATCAAGATCAGAGCTTATACAAGTTTACTTCTCATATACATTTCAATTTTCATTTCAATACTGAACATATTGGTAAGTTATATTTTTATATCATCATATTATTTCATCAGATTTGAGAGATGATGTCAATTCTCAAATTCAGAGGATTTTCATTTTTCATGCTCTCTTTTTGGATGTTCAACAGATATAATTCAATGTTCGACGTGGCAAATAGCCAGGAAAGTAGTTGTTTTCTGTTGAATATTCAGAATTTAGAATTATGTGCATATGAAGGGGAATGCAAATTCTCGACTTCAGCAGATTTTGTTTTCAAATTCTCATTGTGTATGTTCAATAGATGTAATTCAATGTGCGTCGTGGCATATAGCCAAGAAAGTAGTTGTTTTCTGTTGAATAAACCGAGGAAGAATTTATATTTCCATCACATTGAGAATGCGAATTCTCAACGTATTTCTTTATATACAGTGTGTCCACCTTAAGAACCCACCACCCCTGTAAAATTGTTATTATCTGACCGATTTCAAAAAACTTTTTCTTGTTGGATAGGTCTTTGAAATCTCCATCCACCAAGTGAGTGATTTTACTCATGAACTGTAATCGTGGCCAACTGCGACCAACTTTATTGACCCATTTTTGAGAAAGTACTATTAGGGTTTTTCTTCACAAAAAACAATGATGGATTTTGAATCACGATTTATTGAAAAACACCTTCACTGATCTTTATCATCATAAAACACAGGGTGTCCCAAAAAAACGAATTATGTTTTCTTTTATAGGTGATCAGAAAATGTAGTATTGTGGTATTTTAGAGGAGAATTGATGACAAATTAATATTGAGGATCACTTTGAACATATCTGTACCGATTTTCATCATTCAAAACCCAATCAAGGGGTTCAAACTGGAACGATGGAAACTTGTTATTTTTATAGAACTCAATCGCAGATTATTAGGTTTTCTCAATTCAGAATTTCTTTCCACGTCCTGTATGATGAATATCAATTTATCAAACATAAAAAAGTGTATAAATAATTCAATGGAAATCGATCAGAAGGAAAATTTTCCATTTGAGCATTATCTCACCTTCATCGGTCTGTTGAATCCATCTGCAATAGATATATGATATCGATCTTCCCCTTTTTCTCCTCCGAAAGCCAATCTCGCAATTGTCGTTGGTGAATTGCATTTTTTATGTTGGCAATCCTCGGGCCTTGCCGATATTGTTCCAGACCAGGTGAAGTCCAATATAACTGAAGCCTGGAAAAATAATTCAAAGAATATTTACGGTGTAGAATATCACGCACCAAGTGAAGTAGCACTTCATAGCCCACTATTGTGGGCGTGAAGTGGCACTTCAACCCCGCGGACTACTTCATCGCCGACCTGTATAAGTGGTGCATTTCTAAAGGTACAGGGTGTCCCACTTAAATGTCTCACCTCCCATTATCCTCGTATCTCCCAACATATTTTGGTCATTCAAAAACTTTCATGGAATGATTTTGTACGAAAATATGTGCTCACTCTTTCTTCATATCATCAACAAAATCTTCTAATCTTCAAACTATAAGAAACACATTTCCGAAGAGAAATATTTTGCCGTTGAGGACGGGAGCAAATTCGAAATAATCAAGTAAAATGCATAATTATTCTTTTCCAGAGTGACACAATAAGAGGTAAGAATGATAGGATTTTATCAAGCCTAATGCAGACTGCACTCAAAATGCTGAAAGACTGGTGCTTTCAGGAGGGCTTGAATGTCAACCCAAGCAAAACAGTCATCGTTCCATTCACCAAAAGAAGGAAGATCAATTTAAAGGAACCCACTATGGATGGGACGCCTATCAACTTCTCCGAAATATCTAGGGGTAATCCTAGACAAGAAACTCACGTGTAACCAATATTTAACCAAAATCGTCAATAGGGCAATTTCAGCTCTCTGGATATACCGAAAGATGTTTGGTCAAACGTGGGGTCTCAAACCAGATATGACCCTTGATTACTCAAAGATATGACCTACTGGTCTTACCTCACGGTGGTCAGATGGTCACATACGCATCTCTAGTGTGGTGGACCAAGAGTAACGAAAAAACAGCACAACTTGAGCTGCAAAAAATCCAGAGACTCGCGTGTCTTGGGATCTCAGCAATGGAAGCTATGCTTGATCTACTACCCTTGCATATTTTTATCAAGTGGACTGCAGCTCTCAGTGAATACAGACTGAATTCCACTAAATTAGCCAGACCAGGTCATGTCACATGGTCATTCTACAAGAAGTACAAATGGAATTTGCAAGCAAACCATCGTACCACATATGGGGTTCAGCACCAAAACATACGCTGATGCTCTTAGATTCCATCCAGAGAAGAGCCATTCGCCTGGTGGGTGACGCCACACTCACTCACTCTTTGACATCATTGGAACACCGTAGAAAGGTCGGCGACCTTTCACTTTTCTATCGATACTTCCACGGGAAATGTTCTTCGGAAATCTGTGCTATCATCCCTTCACTAGCAATACCAATCAGACGAACTTTACAAGCCCAGCCAGCACATCCTTTCGTTGTCAACCTCGAAAGATGTCGAACAGCACTTTATCATGACTCCTTCATCCATAGAACGGCTAGGAATTCATTGCCTGTGGAAGTATTCCCAACAACATATAATCTCCAAAAGTTAAAAAAAAATTCCAATACCTACCTCCTGTCCCTATCCTCCCTAGGAACGCACGATGTTCTTTGAACATTATAGGGATTCCCTTTCGTGCGCTCCAAGCGATAAAAAAACCTAATACCAGCCAGCCAGGCTCAGTTTCGATCCTGCCTTCGAAGTGGTTATAAAAAGTCGCCCTAGGTACGGTTCCGCTGAGCCTCATCTGGATAGAGGGTCCCTTGTTTGGTACACCGATGGTTCGAAAATGGAAGAAGGGATAGGCGCGGGTGTATATGGACCCTGATGTAGGCTACATGGAGCCTTAGGTCACTCCCCCACTATCTTCCAAGCTGAGATACATGTCATCAACCTATTCGCCCAAAGGTGCCTGAGCAAAGGTCTGAGGGGTGTCAACATATATCTGCTCAGACAGCCAAGCCGCACCAAAAGCCCTAAATCATTTGTTTTCACATCGAAGAATACATGGGACTGCTTTGAAACACTCATGCAACTGGGAAAGGACAACAAAGTCACAAGTTTCAAGGCATGAAGAATCAAATAAAATTAGGCAGCTGATTGCCTTGCAAAGAAATATGCATCATCTGCACTCTTTCTTTCCTGATATTTTTGTGGGATAAGCAAATGTCACCTGAAGGGAGAACCCAGGAAATGGGAGGCGATTGAAAAGTCCTCCTACTGGAGAGTAACTCCAGGTCAACGACAAGCGAAAAGGTTCATCAACCATTCGCAGAACCGAGCCAAAGAGCTACTCAGCCTCAGCAAACCAGAGCTAAAGCTTATCACAGGCTTTATCACAGGACACTGCCCTCTGATGACCACCTCAAAAGTTGGGCGTGGTAGAGACTGACACTTGCCGCTTTTGCAACAATGCGACTGAAACCGCAGAACACATACTTTGCTCATGTAAAGTATTAGTCCGCCAAAGGCTGAATCACCTAGAACAGGTCTATCTCACACCTGCTGAGGTGGAAATTCAACCGTCAGGAAAATTCTAGGCTACATCAGAAGTCTAGGGTTAGAGGAAACTAGATAAGGGTAATCACAATAGATCTTCTAGGTCACAGTGATCGAGAGGTCTCCCAGCCTATACGACCCATCTACAATCTACAATCTAGGGTGACACATGATTTCGGGCCACCCCTGTTAGTTCTGCATTCGTGAACAGATTTTTCCGAAATTTTGTACAGTTATATAAACAACCATTTCAGATTTGATCACACTACAATCCAATATGGCGGGCTTCGGGTTTGTCTGGAAATGCCAGCATCTTTGTTATTTCAAATGGACTACCCTGTGTATTTTTTCATAATTATTCAAGTTCAACAGGTCAAAACAAGTCTTATCTTGAACCCAATAATATGTCCCTGAAATATATACATCAAATTTTGAAACACCCTATATTGTGATATTTTTTCAATATTGAACCTTCGTTTTTTTCTGTCACAAAAAATGTATTATACACGGAAAAATATTAGCTCATCAGCTTCGCGTCGAGTGACTATAACGAAATGCAAAAATATCTAATACTTTTTCCCCTTGTATATCAAATAACTCTTGTTTTCGGATGGTTTTCAAGAGCCGTCGTAAATTGAATCCATTAATCCCCAACAGTGATTTCCATAAATAAAAAATGAGTAATAATTAACAATTATCAATGATTATTGAACTCGTGAGTAATCTCCTATCGAAATTCAAGGAAAAAGTGATATCTCTATGGCGTCACCAAGGCATGCCAAAATGACGATAAATTATTCAGTTTTATCATCGCTCTGACATATATAGGGTGTCTATTTCAAGTGATACCACTATCTCCAGAACGGTTATTGCGACGAGGTTGTTAAATTATAGAAAATAATAATATGTCTTATTTATTTACAGGCTATTTGAACAGTACTCAATAATTAGCATATTATGTAATACCAGAAGTGATACTATTTTGCTGGAAATATTCGGAGTTTGTTACGTCAGCTTGTTGCCTAATAATATCGCGAATTGAGCGAAATTTAAGCAGCAAGCTGGAGTATGTCACTTGATGTATATTTCCGGGAAAAATGGTATCCACGAGTTGTATTCGTATGACTATTTCATGATTGAGATAATAAACGAGTGCCTCGCGAGAGTTGCACACATTGCATCCATCATTCTGGCTTTCAACATAATTGACGTTTCAAATGTCAAACATTTAATCGCTGCAAAACCAGGTTGGTTGGTTACGTGTGGGTCAATTCGGCTTCTGTATTGGTAGAGCAAGTCCGATAATTTTCAGTAAACAAAAAATATCGCTGTAATACAGGAGAAACCGTGAAATTGGTAGATTCTGATTGGTTCTCGAGAACAACAGTGGAATTGTCAATAAGAAGAATTAACGCACTCGAAAATTATTTTTTTTCCTATTTTGAACTTTGTTTCCTGGATATTTGCATTCTTCTAAACATTTTGTTTGAAATCTGAAATCCTTTCAGGTGATAGCTATGAATATTGCAAATCCATATTTTGTTATCCTAATATTTTTGTCACAATCTTATTTTTTTTCCTGAATTGTTCACTCTTTTTTACTGGTGAACCTCGAATATCTGGAAATTCCTGATCTACATTCTCGATTATCAAGTATTTTTCATTTAAAATTTTCTTGAAATTAATTTCATTTTCCCGTACCATTTTTGTTCTGAATTCGTCAGCATCCCCGAAAACCACTCAATTCATATTTTCAATATCTCAATAAAAATTCAAAATACCGCTTCCCATAACTACGCCCTAAAAATCTCGCAGTTATTGAGATGCGATTCTTGAAATTGTGATGGTGTTTCTGTGTTATTTTTTTAACATAGAATCACTATCGAAATATCAAGAGAATCGCGTGATTTTGAAATATTTTTTTTTGACTCTTGGGATCTTGAAAATATCAATCAGGGGGTTTTTGGCTTGGTTTTTGGTGATGCAAAATTTGAATCTGATTGAAAGAGAGATCTAAAATAAGCCCTAATATCCTTTATCTGAACTGATTTAAGTGAGCTCTCATTCATATACGTAATAATAAACAATACGGATCATAACGGGTGCCAGGATGAAGCCAAAAATATGAAACAAATGAATATCCATAAGGATTTGGTGGCATGATACGCATGCGCCATGCGCTATTATAGTAGTCATCAAAGACATGCGTTTCGGTGGACAGTGACGTTTACCAGCCTTTCAATCAAAGCAGTATGTGTCTGATCGTTTCAAAACTTTTCCTTATGGATAGTCATTTGTCTTCAAAAATCGGCTTCATGTTTCGCTATGGAAACAGATAGAGATTATCCGTATTGATTATTAATACGTATATGCTCTCATTAGGCTCAACAAGGTTTTCCTGGTGTACTCACTTGTTGACCTATTGCAGTTTCATTATCCAGATTACTGAGTGAGTTGTTAGATTGGGTCTCATTAGACCAACACAGCTGCTCTTTGGGGATTTGGTTTTCTATTCATCAATTTAGTCATTTTCAATTTTTCATATTGTTCACATTCACAGTAAGAATTTTTCCAATAATAAAGAATAATGAAGATTTTTTGACAACTTCTTTGACATTTGTCATGCCTTGTATGTCATGGCAGATGTCAACTTTAAATTTGCTTTCATTATTCTAGTACTTTCTGCCACTTATCAAGTACACTTCAACAATGTAATCTGCATATTATCCCATTTTGGGAAACAAATTTTGATCTGTTTATATAGAATTCAGCCATAATATCTATAACAATGAGCAGGATCAAAGATATTTTTATGGATAATTTTCTTGTGAACCTGACAAGTAAGTAGCCTCACTTTTACTAAATTTTTAGTTTACATTCATCATTTTTAAGTTTCTGATGCAATTTTTTCAATAGATATAACTTGAATAACTTTAATTGATTTCCACATTATAAATAATATTCAATTCAAAAAATGATGCCTTTCAATAGCAAAAAAGCTGATTACTTACTTACAGGTAAACACTGATGATGACTGTATAGTCGAAAGCGCTCTGCTACGAAAAATGTTAATAAATTATTTTGCACGAAATACAACATTTGGTACAATTATTTGTGTACACGTGCACACAGCTAAGTAATCCTCACTTATATCCTTTGCCTAAATAAAGGTCTTTTTGGTACCCCTCAACATCGCACGCCAATGGTAAATAAAAATGTTCACTATTCCAAATACTTCATTGTTCTAAAATACAATTATTCCTAACTTTTCATGCTCAATTAGTAAATGTTAAGAATTTTCCGACGTTTTGATCAGGGGTGTAGGGAAAAGTTGGGGCTATGGGCACTTTTCCCCCTAGTTTTTTCGTTTATGTAACTCTCAGCAGTTTGACCAGAAAATTCTTAAAAAATATACTCTCTTGTTTAGTTTCGATAGTACTCATCATTCTCGAGATAACTCGATTTTAAAGGTCTGCTGTGTAATAAAAATAGTACTTTTCCTCGATAGGGTATCTACCATATTATTTTTCAATCAAGTCTTTTCATTGCATTCCCCCATATTTTGAATCAAAAATCGAAAGTAGATGTTAATAGGAGAAGTATTTTCCATCAAACCATGATAATTGGGAAAATTCGGTAAACCCTATTAAGGAAAAAGCACAATTTTTATTACGCAGCAGATTTTTAAAATCGCTTCATCTCGAAAATGGTGAATGAATGGCTATCGAAACAAACCAGAAGTACCACTTTTAATTAAGAATGCGTTGAGATTTTCATATTTCCTGAATAATCTGCTGAGAACCAGTTTTTCACATCCCTGAATAAAATTTTGGCGAATTCTCAACATTTTCGAATCGAGCATAAGAAGTTATGTATCGAATTTGGTTATTTTATCAGAGTTTCCCATCATCTCGTATAACCCCCCCGGGGAGCATTTCTGGACCCATGTCTATATGAACTCTCAACTATTTTTGTTCCTAGAATCTATGGATGAAATCTTTCTATGTATAATTTCGGGACACCCTGCTATATTTTATAAAAAATAACTAGGTAGTTGAAAAATAGTTATTTATGATATGAGTGCTAAAAGTGGTGTTTTATTTTGTGAGAAGGGAAGTTGAGGACACGACGCCGAAGGCGGAGTGTTCCATCCCTTCGAACAAAATAAAATCACTTTTAGCACTATTTTTTCTACAAACACCAATAAAAGTTCAAATGAACGCATACCTATTTCACATTAATTAATTGATAAAATTATTGTTAGTTTTGAAACCAATTTCATCTAATCTATTCATGAAACAAGTTGCCAAGGTACCTATACACAAAAACCGAATTTGTTGATTTGTCTTTGTTGACAACTAACGTCAATGAATCACAAATTATTCTTTCTCGGTTCTTCGTTCCTCGATGGAAAGTGATCAATAAAATGAATTTCTACCGCCGGAAATTGAAGATGCCAGTAAAACTGCTTTTGAGTTATTGCCTAGTTAGTCATGGCGGCAGTACGAGTTTTCCTTCTATATTTTCTCTCAAACATAAATCACTTTTAGCACTAGTGCTGAAAGTAATTCACTTTCAACACCAGTGTTATAAAATGACATTTTAGACACTGACAGCATGCGTCAAAAATAATACTCTTACTGACGTTGGTAGAAAAAATCACTTACGAGTTGTCCTGGTGGCAAGACGAAGCTATCCTCATCTGTCATCTCGATCCATAATCTCTCATTCCCCTTGTTCTTGATCTGCACCCCCCTGATGGTTTTCGGGTCAATTACCCCATTCACCCCCATAAACGCACAAAAAATCACGAACGCTCCAATCATTTTCTAGCGGGTTGTGCGCGAAATGCAAAGAATTCAGTCGAATTGAATTTGTTATCTAATAGATAGATTCTCGACTACTAATAAGAACGAAATGGTTTACCAATTTTATATATCTTCAGATTGTAAACATGGTTTAATCTTTTGTTGTCTTGTTGATGTTGAATCAGAGACGTACCAGCCGCCAATGAGTAGTGCTGGACAGTGTTGCCAACACATTAGGTACAAAGGTAGCTAGATACTAGATTATACGGGATTTTTTTTTGGCAAACTTGGCAATTTTTTTTTGAAAATTCCACACCAGTGATTTTTATACAGTTAATTCGCGTTTTTTTGAGTGGACATTTTTTTCTCGTTGGTACCCACCAGCGTATGAAATCAGAAAATTTTTTATGACGTTTCAATGACAGAATAATATTTTGACGTCCTAAAATTGTGATTTTGTGCTACTTCAATAGGGTAGTAATCAACAATTGATAGGCTAAGAATCCGCCCTAACTGCATCGATTATACAGGGTGTTTCACAGGTAAAGGGAGATATTTCATTGGTAGATAGGGGTCACCAAGGTGGTTCTGAAAATACCATATTTGATAGGTCTTAGAGTCTTCATAACGGAGATACAGGGCGATTTATCGATTTCGAAGAATTATTCATTCCTCTATAAGTATTGAACTACCCAGTATATTTTTCTAAAATTTGGTATGGAGCTTAAACTTGGGACGTTGAATTCATTCACCTATCGGGCGGAGTGAAAATCCAGGTTCGGCTTCAGGAAAAATTTACATTTTTTCGAAATATTAAAATAACACACTGTATGTAATAATTGACAGAGTTCATCAAAGGAATCGTGAAGAGGAGGAAAAACTGAACTGGATTTGATGCTTTTTGTTTTCCCGCCACCAATTCTCATCGTAACAATCATAAACAGAAAGCTGAAAGTATGTCAATTTGAAGAGTATTGAAATTATGAAACCAGTGTCAATTATGATTATTCGATATATTTTAGTCAAAAAATCGCTCGAAAGAACTTACTAAGTCTCACAGTTTTTATAACGGAGATACAGGGTGAATTATCGGTTTTGAATAATTATTCACTCGTCCATAAGTATAAAACTACCCAGTAAAATTTTCTCAAATATGGTATGTATAGCTTACTTGGGACGATGGATTCATTAACCTATCAGGCGGAATGGAAATAATACCAAATAATTATAATTCGATAATTCACCCTGTATCTCTGTTATAAGGACTATGAGACTTTTCCTGAAGCTGAACCTGTATTTCCATTCTGCCTGATAGGTCAATGAATCCATCGTCCCAAGTAAGCTCAATACCAAATTTGAGAAAATATTACTGCGATGGGTAGTTTAATACTTATGAACGAGTGATAATTCACCCTGTATCTCTGTTATAAAGACTGTGAGACTAAGTAAGTTCTTTCGAACGACCATTTAACAAGAATATATCAAATAGTCATAATTGAAAATGGTTTCATAATTTTAATACTCTTGAAACTGACATACTTTTAGCTTCCTGTTTATGATTGTTACGATGAGAATTGGTGGCGGGAAAATAAAAAGCATCAAATCCAGTTCAGTTTTTCCTCCTCTTCACGATTCCTTTGATGAACTCTGTCAATTATTACATACAGTGTGTTATTTTAATATTTCGAATAAATGTAAATTTTTCCTGAAGCCGAACCTGGATTTTCACTTCGCCCGATAGGTGAATGAATTCAACGTCCCAAGTTCAAGCTTCATACCAAATTTTAGAAAAATATACTGGGTAGTTCAATACTTATAGACGAATGAATAATTATTCGAAATCGATAAATCGCCCTGTATCTCCGTTATGAAGACTCTAAGACCTATCAAATATGGTATTTTCAGAACTACCTTGGTGACCCCTATGTACCAATGAAATATTTCCCTTTATCTGTGAAACACCCTGTATAAAATGTCATACCACTACCTTAGTGTAAGGCGTTATGGAAGGCTAAAATTCGAAATATCTGGTACTGATACGCTTCAACAGGAAGATCAAATTACTAAGGTGGACGAACATACTGACCTTCATCAGAAATTCACGGAGGTTCGAAAAGTAGGATTAGGAGAAGGAATAGTAGGTATTATCTGCACATGACGTGTGCAGCAGGGGTCGGCAAAAAAGGCTCACTGGGGCCTACTTGCTAGGCGACCTATACCTATGAAAAATTAATTGAAAAAATTATAGTTTCTTATCACTTGTAGTATCCCAAAGTTAATATAAAATGAAAGAATATATGGTACATTTTAAACAAGTATTTTCATGCAAATATAATATCAATAATAAGCAAATTACTTTCCGGGAATTTTTTCTCGCTCATGAATACTTCGAAAATTAGCCCTCGTCTTCGACTCGGAATTTTCAAAATATCCATGAGCTCAAAAACATTTCCGGAAATAATTTGACCTCTACTGGTATTACAAGTGAAAATTTCAGTCCTGGTCAAATCATTTTTGTAGCCACTTCGTATCAAATCTAGCCATTTTATTATAATTGTTGATACAGAAAGCCACAAAGGAGGGTAGATATTCTTGTACTAAAATTTTTCAGTGTGATCTCAAAAACTTTTTTTCATTCACATTCACGATACTGAATTGCCCTAGGAATTTCAGAGCAGTACATTTGAAGGATTTCGAAATATTCAAGAAAATCTGTTAATAAAATCATTCTCCAACGCCCTAGGGTTCGATAACTTCATTCACCCTATTCTGGTCTAAAATTCACCTTGTACAATTTATGGCACGTTGTTCTGGGACACAATTTTCACAGGCTCTCTCAAAATTGTCATTAATTATCGGGAGGTCCAATAATTATTTAGAGAATGTACAGAGTTCTGAGGAGGAAACGGTCTGTGACACTGGGATAGTTTGCTTAGTATTTCAAAATAATTAAATGTAATTTTTCACAGAAACAAGTATATCGTTCATGGAGAAAATTCACACCCACGATTGCATTGGGAGGTCAGTATAGTGTTGGTCAAAAAATTATAGTGTTTTTCATTACAATCCTCACAGTTTCTGATGAACGATATTCCAATCATTCGGTAGAACGCCGAGGACCCATTTGGTGGCCAGCAAGGTCACCAGACCTCAATCCATTGAATAATCATACTACCCTTAGTTGTTGCAGTTACGTTGTTGATAGTAATGAATTATCAACATCAACAGCTGCATTCCCAAGTGAATGATACCTCAAATTGTTTTCACTTATTAACATGTTATCTACTTATACCTTGCATATTATTTCGTAATATTAATTTTTCCAATGATTCGTAATTTTGATATCTTATCAGACATTCCGCTATGTCGACACAAATAAAATATGTGTATTTTGTATGAACTAGTCGTCAATTCTTATTTACTATTTTCAATGCGTACTTACTGTTATTGTTTTTATGTTTGGTAGGATCACTTCTGAGAAAAGTGAGATTTTTGACCCACTAATGTGCAAGTACCTACGTCATAAGAAGTGTCTAGGCGTTCAAATATTTGAAATTGATATCTATTCATAATTACGAAGTATTTATTTTTTTCTAGTGAATGAGTTCTAAGGAATTGTTTCGACAGGGCCGGGCCATAATATTTATTTAAGTACGTTTACTGGATATTTCAGAGTTGTAAGACATGGAAAAATGTCAGTCTTGTTCTGTTTTCCATTGAGTAAAAGCTCGTAAACGCTCTGGTCAATTTCAATGGGATAATCACGGTTTATCCAATTGAACAATTACGAATAAACTTTACTGATCTATGGTTGTTTTTTGTAGAATGGTGGTTTTTGCTGTTTACATCAATTATTCAAATAAACCTACTGCTGAACAGTATATTTTTGTGCCTCATCTCGGCAGGTCTTTGATCTTCATAAATAAATGAAATTCCTTGAATTTTGGTTGAAAAATGTTACGAATGGGAAATTTGAGTTATTTCAACTTATACATCTGAGGTATTTTATGAAAAAAGTGTAGGCAAGAATATTTGTCGAAAAATGCTAACGATTTCAATTTTATTTAATTCAATTCAAAATATACGATATTGTCGAAGAAACAAATTCTTATTGACAAAGCATGAATTTGTCTTAAATTTGAAATAGATATATATATATATAAATAAAGTACTTAATATACATACATACAACAGAAAGTTTTAAAATTTACATCAAGACACGACGTATAAGATTCTACAGAAGAAACGGACAAACAATTATAAGAAATTCTAGCCAATTTAATACAGTTTCCGAAATGGGGTTATTGAAACCCCTTTTTCTTTTCTTTTTTTTCAAATAGGTCGCGTTTTTCAGGAATAATGAATAACTTTTGAACCATGAATAATTTGATTTGATCTTCCACCACGCCATGAACAGTAAATAATCTTATACCTATACTTATAATTATACTATTATCATAGATGATACATCTGAAAGTAATAAAAAAGAAACTAGTTGCTATCAGACTAAAATACAAAAATACTAGACTACTAAAACACATTATGATAAACATGATACAAGATAATATGATTATGAATATGTTGTATACAACAAAAAAGTTAGATGATGGGAAATAGAGAAAGAGGAAAGAAAATCATTGAGAGTGTCTTATAGCTGATCTTGCTGAAGAATTTCTTTAATTTTTATCTTGAACCTGTTCATACAGTGTGGAGACTTGAACTGCAATAAATTCGTTAGCGGGATGGTGTAGATTGTAGATTGTAGATTGTAGATTGTAGATTGTAGATTGTAGATGGGTCGTATAGGCTGAGAGACCTCTCGATCACTGCGACCTAGAAGATCTATTGTGATTACCCCTATCTAGTTTTGGTCCTCTAACCCTAGACTTCGGGATGGTGAATATTTTTTCTAAATATTCCCGGCATTCGTCAACGATTTAATGTATTTACCTACCTTTTGCAAGCAGTATCGAGAATATATAGTGTAGTAGATATGCGATAAAAAATGGTCTCAGGTGGAAATAATTCCCACAAAATTTGTTTTTGCTTTTCTCAGTTCAGAATGCATAGAATAACACATATGAGAAAATATAGAATGATACCTTTGTGCAAAATAAGAATACAGTGTTTCCAATATTTGTTTATTCGTTAACACGTTTAAATCATAAACCTAATAAAAATGGCATATTTGGCATGTAACAGGAGTTCATTCATTATCTTCAACTTCCTCGATTGGAATATTGGTACCTTCTCGAACAATTATTGTACAATACTGTGCAAAAAATTCCGTATCGTCGACATTTACATCTGGTTCCACAAGGTTCATCTACTTCAGTTTTGCAAGTACTTCCGTACGTCATCATATGATACAGAAAACCCAAGCTTATGAAGTTCATCGACAAGTAACCGGATCGGAAATCTCGGTGATACTGCACACCAACACCTAGATGAATTGAACTTATGATAGATCGTGGCCTTGCAGCTTGCATTAGTGCCTGTTCAATTGAATTTTTCTTCAAACTTGAGGATTTTTTGTTGATTATTATATCCAAGAATGTTTTCAAAATGTCGGGTAAAAGCTTATTATTTTCCTGCTCGGAACTTATTTCTTCTGGTGAGGGATAAAACTCTAAGGATGTTCTCATCAACTTGATTGAATCACAAATTATATTGGCAACTGTTTTCCCTGTTACGATCATATTAGCTCTACCTGTTTGTCTCAATATCATAATGTCATTCGAGAAATATTTTTTATGCATACGACGAACAGTGTAAGGTTCGATATTTTCTGGCAGCAGCTCTGCAATTTTGTCCAGCAACTCCTGAACTGAAATTGGTTCATCATTTTTCTTGAGCCACCTGCATATTTATAAAAAGGCATCTTCTTTATATTTATCAGAAGGATGTCCTGCTATAACTTTGTCTGTTTATTGGGAATATCATGTTGATGTTTCTTAGGAATAGAGTAGTCTTTTCCAAAATTCACACTACATTTCTGATTATACAGAGCATCTGGTGCTGGCAAGTATTGGTAACGGCGTGCAAGGTCATTTGATGATCAAAAATCGTTTCTTGCATCACACACATCAATAATAGTTTGTCGTAACGCGAAAGTTCGTACTGGTAAAATTGCAGATTTAATTATTTTCTCAGTTTCCTTGATGAATTGGCCACAAAACAAGCAATTATCTTTGAACGCGAATGTCGGCAGCTCAGATCACGGAGCTCTATTGCTGCTGCTGCTGCTGCTGCTACTAGTTGATGTTTCTCTATCAGTGTCTGATTTAAAACTAAGATCATTCTTCATCTTGTTCGAGTTTACGTACAAACGACGACATTCGAAGTGAACAATTAGAGGATGAATAGGCACTGGTTCCAAGAGTTCAATTATTTTGTCTTGCTCCTACTTGCTAGCACTTATAATTCCTTGGACACCTTTACCAGTCAATTTAACACAATTCGAACTATCATCAGAACTTAACGAAAATAACAAACATTTGTTATCTTCCATCGCTGCTTTCAATTCACTATATTCAGATAAACCTGGAATGATATATCAAATAATGGAACCTTTCATTCACGATCACAGAGAATAGTTTCAATAACATACCAAAATGATTGTTTCACACCTCGACACGAATTTTGAGATCTGCTAACCATATTCTCATTTTTAGGAAGATTATGAAATTCGTTTGAATCTTATCCTGAAGATCCTAACATAGGTAGGTTAGGGCACCTGAAATATGGAAAGTTGCATTAAAACATTTTTGCATGAAAGAATGCAATGAGGCTTCAGAAAATGAAAACTGCGTTTCTGTGGAAATTATTTCCACTCCAATTCCTCCAACTGCTCTACTGATATCCCTTCAGGGGTAACTGAAACCACCCTCAACATGATTTTTTCAAATGTAACCCTATGGTTTGTGACCCCTCATTGGAAAGCTGGTGGAAAGAGGAATCCAGCGTACCTACTATTTAAATTTTAGTTTTCCATCATGCGTTTGGAGATTGCATAAAATTGGAATGTTATTTTGAAATTCATTCTTTTTCAACGTAACAACCGCTCAAAATGTGTGTTGAACAATTGATGGCAATTTTTTGCACAACTGCTATCTGTTATTGTATTCCAATGTTTTTATAGAGCCGCAAAAAGAAATTTCGTTTATTGCCGTATTCACAGTTCGAAACCAATAAGGGGTCGCAAGCCATAGGGTTGCATCTGAAAAAAATCATGTTAGGGTTGATTCCAGTTACCCCTGAAGGGTTATATTCTCCATATTGTTCGCCAAATCTAGGTATATACATTGAAACGTTGACGTGTCTTGCTAATTTTCAGAAAAATCATTCACACCCCCACTAGCGAATTTATTCCAGTTAAAGTCTCCACTCTGTATATTATTATTACGATTATTGAGATACTTCGTTTAGTTATTGTTACCGTGTGTACCTTTCTATCTGTTGCAATAAAATCATTTATTATTATTATTATTATTTTTTGCAGGGAGATCCAGGCGACCAGCGGCGAGTGGATGAACGAGTTCGTGAGGCGGCCCAGCAGGAGGCGGGAGAATTTGCCTGCCGCCGACATCATCAAGAGGACCATCCGGAGGTCCTGGACCATTTCCAGTAAGTTTTTTCTCATAGTAAAAGACCACAGGGGAAACAGGGGGAGTATCACAAAAAGTCAGTTTAGAGAAAAACGCATTTAAAGGTTTTAAACCTCCTAACTTTTTGGATCAGTGTGAAACCAGCCACGAGTTCCAGCCACGACTTCGCCTAATATTCAAGGCGCGCGCCATACCACCAATGGTCGTTCATTATCAATTTATATTCATGGCTGGCCATGAAATTACTTAAACCTCAAAAATATGTCCATTGATGAAACTATTTTACATCAATGATTTTCTCTGAGGGTCTATGATAATCTGTATATCTCACAATATTTTGTCGGGCAAGAATTAACCCCACAGGCCCCCTTTTTCGGAATTTCGAAAAAAATTCATAACTTCTTCAAAATACACGTGGATGGGAGTTTTTTTCTATGAATGCATCTTTATATGAAGGAGAATGCAAATTCTCTACTTCAGAAGATTTTGTTTTCAAATTCTTATCGTGTGTGTTCAATGGATGTAATTCAATATTCGTCGTGGCATATAGCCAGGAAAGTAGTTGTTTTCTGTTGAATAAACCGAGAAAGAATTGATATTTTCATCACATGGAGAATGCGAATTCTCAATGTATTTCTTTATATATATATACCATATCCATTTTTTTGTGTTCATAAATATATCTGAGAATGTTCCTTTTCAATAAGCATACTAGTGTTCATACGTTCACGTTGGTAGTGGGCTTAGGGGTGTACGTTATCTCACGTATACCTTGAAAATCAACGAATCGTTATTTATGCTGATGAGTCATAATTATCAAATTCGGGATCCCCAAGGAGTTCTGCATCAAGAAGTCCTCTCATTTTAACAGGACTTAATGTTAAACAACCAAAGATGACCAATAGAAACCGAAAACAAAATTCATTATTACGTTACGATTACTTCAACACAATGGACACTGGAGGTCTACGTATAGTGATTACTTCAACTCTCTATTAGCTGACTATGCTGCGTTATTGCTATTGAGTTTCCACTATATTGTGATAATCCCCCTTTTTCCCTTGCGGTTTTCGGTTGTTCTCGTCAACGATCAATTACGTCGATATAACAGTTCTGAACACATGCAGCGGAAAACATTTAGGCAAATTGATCGACCTATAACTTTTCCATTCTTGTCTGGTTTTGGTGAAATTCCGACAAAATCATAGATTTATGTTCAGAAATGTTAACCTTTGATGTGTTGATCATTATAGAGAGAAAAAGAAAAGTTGCTATTTCTACTGTGTCAAAAGTTATAGTGATTATATACAGTTTAATCATGTTTTGCATTGAGGTGCGATCTCTTCATAACACAATGGTCAGGTTCCTGCTACTTGCATCTTGCATGCGAGATACTCATAGCAAGTTATATGGAACGTTTGGGGAATACATTACATTTACCAGTTTTCCGTCAACTCCCAGGTTCGTCGTCACTTTGATAGTACCCCTTGCGGTGGCTGCTATTGAAGGCCCATTCTTGGCAACGCTAATTTCGAAGGGCCTCGAAAGGATTGTATATGTTGTGAAAACATCGAATCGATTCACGATGTGATCTGTTGCAGCAGAATCCCATGATCCCTTTATGATGTGATTTTATAGTATGACGTTTCCTTCGGTTTTGTGTTTCCTGCTACCTTGTATTTCTTTTGTTTCTTGAATCTGACACTGGATGTTTCTGAGGACGCTGAATTTCCCATCTGCAATACTTTCAAATCTGTACTTTTCCCATTATGAACAGGGAAAAGTCAGCAGTAGATGAGATACCCTATCCATTTCATCTAATTTAGCTCCAGCGGAAATGAGTTCGGTTACAATTTCATCGAAACGAATGAAATGTTTTGATAGAGAAACTTTACCCTCTAGTTTCAGACTCAATAATTGTTTTTTCAATGCCAGTTGAGTTGCTAGACTTCTTCGTTCATATATGACATCCAGACTTCTGAAAATATCTTCGACCGAATATAATGTTCTTCCCTTACAAAACTCAGAAATAAATCACTCGAATATTCAACTATTGTATTTTCTGCAATCAGAACGTCATCTACGTTTTCAATATCCTGGTCTATGACTTCTAAAACATGTAGTAGTGCGCCAAGGAACTTCCAAATACTGTAATGTTCGCCATTGAATGGTTGAATGTTCAGTTTATTATTTTTGATATCCATTTTATTCACGTAGATCAAATTCACACAAACGTAGATTTACTTTTTTTTGTTGATCCTTGTTGATTTTCTGAACTAAATGGTCCCATGAAATACTAATCATTAATTATTGAATAAATGGTCATTAAAAAACAATGGTAATACGACTGAGTGGTAGAACCCTTGCTTGACAACAACTTGGTACGCAGTTTCTATTGTACGTAGGCAGGCCATTATGAATATAGATGGAATTCACTCAGTAATTAACCTAAAATGAGCAATCAGCGTCCTTTGCCGATAGCCTACCACAGATGTGGCTTTGATATTGCTTTCCACATGATTTAATTAAATATCCACTCATTATTTCTACCCCATTTTCAATGCTTGGTCTCAAAGAGATGTCAAGTTGGGTTTTTGGCGCAATCACCTGTTTTTTTATTTAGCTTGAATTTCTGATTACACTGGAAATAAACATGACCTTTTCGATCAACAACACTTTGAAGATTTTTATATTTTGAAATCTTGGAAATTGCTCGGTTATGATTTGATATGGATCCACCATCATAATTTGGAATATCTGGATCGGTGATTTGAATTTTTTTTTGTACTCACATATCTAAAATAGCATTTAGCGTACGGATATGTACCACTCTAAATGATCGATTAATCACGGATTGATGATCTGTGATTCGTTCGAAAATTAAACACGTTACCATGGCAACACAAATCCTTAAACACGTTACCATGGCAGACCGATCGCACTGCTATCTATCATTTCGAAGATCATGGAGAAAGCTATCAACATCGAGCTCATGAAATACCTGGAACATTCAGGTATTATCAACGATAGGCAATATAGCTTTCGTCATCAGAGATCAACTGGTGACCTGCTCGCTTACGTCTCACATATATGGCAGCAATCTATTGAAAAATATGGTGAAACCTTGGCCGTGGCACTTGATATCTCCAAGGCATTCGATCGAGCCTGGCACCACGGACTCCTCGCCAAGCTTATCCATCTCATGGCTTGCCTCCCCAGCTATGTTCTCTGCTAGCTAGTTTTCTCTCAAACAGGTCTCTCCATGTAGTGGTCGACGGAGTTTCATCTGACTCTCTTATCATAAATGCTGGTGTTTCGCAAGGATCAATTCTAGCACCAACACTATTTCTACTCCATATCAACGATTTGTTGGAAGCAACTTCATGTCCAGTACACAGCTTCGCGGGTGATAGTACCCTCCATACCGCCTTCTCTTCCAGGGCTCCAATACCAGCCAGGCAAATCAGAAACGAACGAGGGAGAAATGTTGACAACATAAATATGGACTTGGCAACAATTCTCGAATGGGGATCCAATAACTTGGTATATTTCAATGCAAACAGAACACAAGCATGCCTTTTCTCTAGAAAAGCCGATCTCACTGTACCCAACATAAGCTTGTCAGGAGTAACCATACCTTTGAAGACATCCATTTCGATGCTTGGTACTACTATCAGCAGTAACCTTTCTTGGGAAAATCACGTAAGATCAATTGCTAAAAGTGCATCTCAAAAACTTGGTTTTCTGTTTCGGGCCAGGAGCTATTTCACTTTCAGTCAGCTGCTTATGATCTATTAGGCACAGATCCGACCTGTCCTGGAATACTGTTCCCATGTTTGGAGTGCAGCACCCCAACATACCCTGAAACTGTTGGATTCTGTCCAAAAAAAGGGCAATTCGTCTCGAGGGTGATGCCTCGCTCACAAACATACTCACTTCTCTGGAACACCGTAGAAAAGTTGGCGATCTGGCTCTATTTCATAGATATTTCCATGGACGATGCTCTTCTGAAACATCAACAATTGTTCCTCCCTTGGCAGTCCCCAGGAGATTAACCCGTAAAGTTGAGGCTTCGCACCCCTTCGTGGCCACTTTGGAGACCTGCAGAACATCTCTTCCCAAAGACTCGTTCATCGTTCAACAGCGAGGCTCTGGAACACATTGCCAAGGGAGGTGTTTTCCGAGGCATATAACCTCCAGAAATTCAAGAAGAATACCAGTCCCTACCTTATTTCCCTTGGTTTTCACGATGTTCTCTGAACAATACAGGATATCCCTTTTCGTGGGAACCAGAACATAAAACAAAACACAATTTCTTCAACATACTACCATGGCAATAGGGTTTTTTTAAACACACCTTCAGTCGTTCGAGTCCTGTCCGGCCTGTCAACTGTAGGAACTGTCAACTGTCATTTTCGGATTTTGTTGCAATCAGAATTATTCAAACATGTATGCGAAAAATAGACGAAAGTGAAATCGAAGGAAATGTTTTAGGTAGGTACTTGCATGTTTCCTAGAACTGTACGTAAAAATGAAGCTCTCATCTTTGGGGGCAACTCTTTTCATGCTATAAGCATGACAATAAACGTAAAATGGTAAAACACAATATTTATGTGAGCAAAATTATGCAACCAGAATGTATAAACTATTAAACTTCCCATATCTCTAAAACGAACCATTTGGGAGCATAATTATTATGTTTATTGAAAAAAGTAAATCCTACTGAGCAATCCCGATATGTTCCGAGTACAATCGTCCAAAAATTTGAGGGTAAATGTAAAAATTTTGAGATTATTATCAAACAAAATAAAAGATTCGTGGCTGCAATACGCCGACGTAATTCCAAAATGAATAGGTTGTTGCATTTCAGATTGCACACGGGGTATATGAAGGATATAATTCAATAAACAAACAGCTCATAGTACTCGAAACGAATACGCAGTGATTAGATACTTATATACTAATTAGAAACACGTGGCTGATAAGAGCAGATTATCATGATATTGAGTATTGACTGTAAACAATGTAAATTATTGAACGTGATTCAATTCGTTTTCTATTGGTAATATTGGTATCGCCTAAGAAAACGCAAAACTTGTTTCTTTATGTCTAGAATTTGATTTTTTTATAGAACGTGAATAAGGCTTTGAGATATTTCATTAATTTTTGCATTGAAATTTTTCCATTTTCCGCTAGCTCTTCTTAATCTTTTGATATTTCTTCGTAGTCCACTTAGAATTATGCAAGTTGTACTGTAAAAGCTATTATTTATGATTTGCTGCCAAAGTCAAGAAATTATTGCGAAGTGCTCTCAAAATGTAATTCTCTCATGAAAAGATGCTATGATAATCACAGTGAAAAACTCGTTTCAATCTACAGCGCTTCTTTCGATCATAATTTAATAGTGAATTATGATACAAACTTCATAAACTTCACTTTATTCTATATTCTACACCGAACTATTCAAAGATTTCCTCTTGAGATATAAAATTATAGACTCATAAGGTCATAAGTCTGGGGATATAATCAATCAAAGTGGGAAAGTGGAAAAAGCAGGAACTTTCAAAAGAACTTATATCAGGAGGAAACTCTGAAATAATTGTCGTTCTTGTTTGGATTTCGGGCAGTATCCAAGAAGGTGAAAGTAGTTGTTTTCTTTTCCAACAATAATAATTGAAATATTTTCCAATTCCTACCTAATTTCCCTTGGTTCTCACGATGTTCTCTGAACATCACAGGATATCCCTTTTCGTGGAAACCAGAACCAAAAAAAAATATGCCTTGTATTTTATTTCGAATAGTTGATGCGGTGATGAACACGAAAAATAGAGGTCTATCCCAAAAAAAGTTCTTTCGAAACATCTTCAATGCAAAGAACTTCCAGGTAGGTTTGAATATTTGATGATGAATGCTCTTGTATTATCGCATTATCCAAGGGTTGAATTCAATAAGATAAGATATGTTTATAATTCCCAATGATTCAAGTTTATTGAATCGCACCATCGCTCAAGCAGGGTTCTTAGAATTCGGACTCTGAGCGAGCCTCAACCAAGTTTGTGAGCCAGTGTTCGCGTATGAAAACAAAGTGGACCACGCAGGACGCATTCAAAAATTTGAACCAGTGCGAAAAGGGAGTCTTTACAGCGTTTTCCACACGCCGATTTACAGAGCGCACTAGCACAGAGCTGGCTCGGTTCTTCCATAAAGTGCGGAAAAATTATATTTTTCACAAAAAGCGGCTTTATTAAGAAAACTTGATGATTTAGGTATAGGGACATGCTATGTCATCTTGTAGCATTTTTATTCGTCTTTCAGTTTATTGAGTAAAAAACAGTGGGTTCCATATGAAAAAATGAACTTTTGACCACTTGTATGAACAACGGATATAATAATAATTTCAGCACGCCCTGTATGATATGGAGCCGACTTCTCGGTGTAAATTGAATACATCAAGCCTGTCCAAACCGAATTCGAGAGCCCTGATTTACATAAGTTCAATTAGGGATATGTTTTGGATCATATTATTATATAACACAAATTATTTTTTATCTCGAAAACCGATAGAGATTGGTATAGGGATTTATCAACAAAAGAGTATTGTAATGAAAAGGCAATTCTAAAAATTTGTTAATATACGGGGTGTTCCATTTAGAAAAATGAAGTTGCTAGGACTTTTTGATAGAAAAGGCAACGTCGCAATTTCGAAAATATTTTATATCGATAGAACAGGTGATAAAATGTAAGATGCAAAATTTTCAGAAGAATCCTGCGTTGTGTTCTCCATAAACGTCTAACGTACTATCGACCGTGAGCTACCCTGTATGTATATACTTACTGGGTATGTATTTTGTAACATTTCAAGAAATGAATCTCTTTTGGTGAACAGTTTTACTTTTACGATAATTGCGTTTTTCATGAACTCCCCATACCCATTACGCTTCTCTCGATTACTGCAATAATACGTTATATACAGGGTATCCCATGAGTAATGGATCAAAAGCAGTGGGGTGGAAGGGAGGATCATTTCCGATCAAACGAACCGTATATGTGGTTATCCAATTGTTGACTGTTCAAAAGTTATCAATTTTTATTCATTTTTATGAAAGGAATGAGGAATTAATTACAATAAAACTATATCACATTTGTAATTTTTTTCTTTATCGAATTCCATCAACATGGATGCACCTTTCTCCAGAGATAATTTCATGACATGTTTTACTTAATATCAATTACCTGAGAACAATGCCGGATTTATACTCCCTTACGCCGGGGGCTAACTTTTACGATGCCGATGCGCCGCCGCCAAATATTTAATTTTCAATTGTCAGTTTCAATATTCAAATAACCCTTTCACTGCTTTTTTTACAGCATATAACAATAACATGAAATCATTATGTACAACGAATCAAATTATATTTACTTCACACGTTAAACATAACAACAAACAACAGATATTTTTTCAGATGAATACTAAAATAATTTTCTTGATTTTTTTGATGCAAAGTCGTCAATGGCATCATCAAAATTCAGATTTGATGACATCTCACTGTTAATACTTGTAATTGATAAGATATTCAATATATCCTCTACCATGGAATACCTAAGGTAGTTTTTCACGCTGTTGAGAATGACCTTTAACCACTGGCATTACGAATCATCAGGGATAGTAAAAAAATGCTCAGTAATTGCCAATTTGATTGAATTTGTTGTGGTTAACCCTAAAACAACGCTTAGTCGTGTTCATATTTTGATCATCTATTTTTGAGATTCTAACTCTTCTTTTTCGCGTATTGAATTCAAAAATAAATAAAACTTACCATTCCTGTCTTGAGATCGATAATTTCCCGGAGATGGTTCTATCGGTTCTGATTCTGTCTCATTTGAATTTAGAAAGAATGAATGTATTTTAGGGCATTTCTTGACAACTTCGTCTAACTGATTTTGTTTATTAATCTTCTGCCGTTTCCAGAATGCACCACCTTTTTCACTCATTTTTTTAAATTCAAGTTTCGATTTATTTATTATTAGTACCATTACCAACAATACCAAGAACAACCACTCTGATTTTGTTTTTTTGTTATTGAGTTAGACGAGTAGAATGCGGTTTTTCTTCTCATCATCAAATAAAAGTATGTACCGCCGCCGCTTTTGTATTGTAGCGTCCAAGACCGTTACCATCGAGATTATCGATGGTAACGCCAGGACACAGGTGACGCTAGATAAGTGCATGTTATGATTTTCACAAAAACAGTATCTCGACCAGTCAACGACTGTATTGCTGCTTGCTTTTCCTCTTTTCTCTGTTTCTCTACCGCCTCTTGAAATTCACCGCCGGAGGCTGATAGTCCCATAGCCCCCCCCTAAATCCGGCACTGGCCTGAGAAAAATGTTGATTTCCTCGATTTTTGTCACTGAATGGAATATTTGAGTTATTATTTGAATGCCGCTGGCAGATGTAAAAACTACTCCACGAAGATAACCAATTATAAGAAATAGTTGCTCATTTAATACAGATTCCGAAATGGTGGAACATTTGGGGTTATTCAAAATAGCTCACTCACTTCTCTGGAACACCGTAAAAAAGTTGGCGATCTGGCTCTATTTTATAGATATTTTCATGGACGATGCTCTTCTGGAATATCAACGTTTTCCTCCATTGGCAGTCCCCGCGAGAACACGTCGAGTTGAGGCTTCGCACCCCTCCGTGGTCACTTTGGAGCCCTGCAGAACATCTCTTTCCAATGACTCGTTCATCCAACGAACAGCGAATTTGAGAAGAATACAAATTCCTACCTTATTTCCCTTGGTTGTCACGATGTTTTCTGAATATTACAGGATATCCCTTTTCGTGGGAATCAAAACATAAGAAAACTTTTTTAATATTGATTTTTTTCAAATGGTTTTTTTCTTCAATTTGATACCTTTTGAACCATCAACAATTTGATAACCACATATACCGTTAGTTTGATTGAAAATGACCCCCCTACCACCCCACTTCCTTTGATCCATGACTTATGGGACACCCTGTATAAACTGTTGTTAATTGAAATCTAGTGATTACTTTTGACTCAAGAAATGAATCACTAGTACATAGAATGTTGTATGCATCACGTGCGTAAAATGCGTTTATGCACTACCGGGCCGTAAAGTGCACTTTACCGCCCGGTTTTGCGGGCGTTAAGTTGCACTTTACCGCCCGCTGTTCTCAATGACCTTATATTATCCACATATCAATTCATGAAAAACCTATGGTCATTTTCCTAGATTCTAATATATCCAGCGGTATATCATAAACTTCTTCTTTATCCGATTCCATATCTATCGCTATTATTATTATCACTAATTTTTACATTTCAGTCAAAGAATGAAAATTTAGCTCGTTTATTGGATGTATTGATTGACAACTTCAAAACTAGTTAGGTATATATACTAGGTATGCATATTGTGAAACTCTGAAGAATGAATCTCTTCTAGAGATCAGATAGTTTTACTATCACGATAATTGCAATATTCGTACGATAATTTTCATATGTATATCATCCATGAACATTACGCTTATTCTCTTGATTACTGAATTTATACGTAACAAATTGAATTCGGGGGAATATTAGTTTATCGAAATCTATATGGACTAGTGCATAAAATGTTGTATGTATCACGTGCGTGAAATGCGTTTATGGCCTTCAGCGTGTAATGGCCCTCGGCTAGCGCCATCGGGCCATTATTCACGCCACAGGCCATAAACGCCTACTTTACGCCCTTGATACATAAATAACTATTATGGCCTTCAGCGTATAACGGCCCTCGGCTGGCGCCATCAAGCCATTATTCACGCCGCAGGCCAAAAACGCCTACTTTACGCGCTCGATACATAGATAACTATTTTTTTGCTTCAGATCCGACTCCCAGATGGACTGCACTCAGATGTTCACCTGAGCTTCGACCTTATAACAGCTTACCAAGAGGCCAGGGTGTGACTGACTACCCATCTCTAGCCTTACACCAAACCAACCTCGTAAACCAACAACTGTCCCTCAAGAGTGAATCTTCTCCAATACAACGGTAAATCAAAATGTACCGAAACCATTTATCTCTAATGCTGCTGTTATTTATTACATCAAACTCGATTCAAACTCAAGAATCATTGAAAATTATAAATTAGGAAAGGTTGATACTTAAACCATTGCCTTAAACTTCACCTTGTTGGCACATTGAATTATTCGAAATTGATTATTGAAGACCCGAAGTCGAGTTCGGCAAGTCAAGTTTCACCATTCCTGAACTGAGAGAACTTGCCCCCAAAGGGCTGCAGCACATGTGCATGATTAATGATTTGTAAAGAGAATGTAGATTTCTGAAAATATTCGTATCATACTTCAAACTTTCATGCCTCTATCTCTTCCATTAAAAAATCATCACAAGATTCACAAGAGTATTATCATTCTGTGCTTGATAATAGGAAAGACAAAGAGGCTGAATAGGGATTTACTCGAGCGTCGCGGAGACGTATCAGATTGTGAAGATTAGATGCGGAAATGAAAAAGAATTTTTCTGTAACCGACATAAAAGTCGTCCATTTTGATACCAAAATTAGCTCTTAAATTGATGTTTCTATTACTGACACAAAAATAGGTATGTTGCTAGGCAACATATTTAGTTCCTAGGAGCTAAAGTTGAACTTTAGTTCCTAGGAGCTAAGTTGAACTTTAGTTACTAGGAGCTAAAGTTGAACTTTAGCTCCTAGGAACTGAAAAGGATGTACTGGACGTCATCAAGAATAAACAACATTGTTACGGTTCGTTACTTGGGTTGATACGCATACCTGACTTGTTTCCGATTTCGGCAGATTTGGCATTTCATACCCATGCTGGAGATATAAATACACCCTATTATAGTTGAGTATTGGAATTATGATCTTCTCAGCTAAGTCTTTTTGTTTTGATCAGAGAAGCCTCCAAGATTCAAATACTTGCTTGATCTGTATTTCATTCGTTATTCTCGGGATGTATAACTTGTTTTTGAATAATCACGGCAAGCAATAGCTTGCTCTTAAACAACGATATTGTTCACTTTTATTTGATTATCAAGTCAAACACAGTGTAGTATGGAGAGGAATAAATAATCGCTATTATTATTGTTGATATGCTCACTAACCTAACATTTTCCAAGTCTTGTTCTTGTTCCTATATAGCTGGCACTGGCGCGGTATTTGCCATTAGAGAACTTGGTCCATACACGAATATGTCACTTTGTGGTTGTATTTATATTGAAACTACAATTCGAACATCCTTATAAATCGAATAAACCTGCTGTTAATAATAATAATAATAACAATAATCGTTTATTGTCTGCCAATGAACACAATAACAAATTCCATGTTTGAACAATTATGTAAGTACAAAAAATAGGTATAGGTGGCAAACAAAAGGTGAAGTGATAGGTCAGTGGACCGATTCTTCCACACTCCCCTAGAAACAGAAACCAAACAAAAATACTAATAATATAAGTTATGTCTTTCAAGTAAATGTATATCGAGGCGATATAATTTTCAAAAGATGAACTCTATCATAATAATATATTATAGATCAACTATTATTGATTCATTTTTTTCTTCGTTTCGTATCACTGCTGTGAAAGGAATTTTTCCTTAAATTTATTTTTAAATTCTCACCACACGGATTATTTGTCAATATTTGTTGCATTGCATACATGTGGCACGACATTGGTGGTTACTTCACATATTTATTTGAGTTGTTTGTTTCGGTTGCAGAAAAATTAGCATGTTTCATTCGGATCAAAAGTGACTTTGTTTGACTCGCAAATTTTGCTTTCGCTCGGTTTCGCTTTCGATCCTAATGAATTGATGAACTGCATACTCTTCAGTCTATATGCTAACACCTCAAACATCGAGATAACTATAAATGAAACACCACTTAATTCACAAGATTCGACCAAATTTTTGGGAATATCAATTGACAAAGAATTATCGTGGGCTGAACACATAAATCAATTGAATAATAGATTATCAAAAGCTACATTCGCCTTAAGAACCATCAAACTGAGTATCAATAGTATACTATGCTCACTTTCATAGTATCTTACAGTATGGAATCGAATTCAGGGACACTGCTGTTCACTTTTTGGACTGAGCTCTAGAGATTCATGTCGCGATTGATTAAAAAATCACAAAATATTTACACTCACCTCCCTTTATATTTATAAAGTATCTCTGTTGATAGTGTTGATACATAAAAACAATTCCAAATTTCGGACAAACATTCTTACGCGAATCAATCACTTACATTGCCAAACTATAGAAATGATAGAACACGAAACGGTCATCTATATGTACATGGGAATCAAGATTTATAATCATCTCCCAGAATGCATCAAAAGTAGTACAGTTAGGAAATTTAAATCTGAGCTGAAGAAAACCTCACACCTCTTTTAGGATGAATTACTTGTTTTTACTCGAGCTAATAATTATCAATATATTTATTAATTATAATGAAATAGACGGCAATCATTTCCCCAAGACTATATGGCATCTGATAATTTTGTTAATATTTTATTGAAAATTGTAAATGGTTACTTATCTATCTATTTTATACTCACAGGAGGATATCACCATCCAGAAGGACTCAGTCGGAAGACGTCTATAGCGCTACGCATGAGGCTACGCCCGCATCCTTGGAGGAACCCCAACCGGAGGCAACGCCTCAGGTATCCCCTCGGAGGCTAGAGCGAGTCAACCCTCTGATGAGGCTCGCGGATCAGAAACAAGGCAAGGATGGGAGGAAGGCTCAGAAAAGATCGAGACAGCTCAACGAGGGGAGTAGCGAGGAGGGTAGTTCGAGAGAGGACGAAAGAACTAGAGGTACCTACTTATGATTATAATTTATCTTTTTATTCATTCATTTTAAAAATAACATACACATCAGCGTACTATATTAATAATAATATATATTTTTAATAAGTCATTTTCTCATTTATATGAATATTTTTTAATTATGAATATTCCACAGAAATAATTTTTCCATTTCTGCGAATAGTGCAGGCATGTTTTTTTCAGTGTAGGTCCAGGGTGAAATCAACGATACAAGCCAATTATATTAAATGCAGAACTTGATTAAAACTAGTGGTGCTTCAAAAAGAAGAAGGAAATAAGATAAGAAGTGGAAATTTTCAAGATTTACACGTTCTTTACGGATAATACTACTGTTTCGGATAATACAGTTGAATATTATGATGAATGTCCATCAAGTAGTAGCAGTATGATGATTGAAACAGAGAAGGATGTTGACTCTGCAATTATTATGGAAGAAAAACTATTATTCCAGATATTTTAGGATTTTCTTTCCTCGTTTCTATAAAATAACAATATGAATATTATTTCAATATACGTGTAGTTAGGACAAATCAGATGATTCGCCCCAAAATGTCAGTGCGTTTAAAGAATTTTCCTATCAGAGAGCATAAAAGATAAATTCACTAGCTTGTCAGTGACAGTTTGTATTGAAAAAAGTTTGGAGAAGAGAAATAAAGGTATGTAGAAAAAATATCAAATTTTTACTTAGCAAATGACGAGACTTCTGCTACTACTGCATTCGATGATTCATTACTGGTGTAAGGGAATTTTAGTGACCAAAAAGCAGAACTTCATTAAACTATATTGGAAAAAGAAGATCTTTATTGCACTTAGTGCAATAAAGTTTTTATTGCACTCATCTGTCATTCTACTTCAACGTGCTGTCATCATGACACACATTTTTTATATTGCAACTGTGGTTATAGAAACGTCAGTCAAAAATTAATTCTGACAATTAACAGAATTGAAAATTGCACCAATTGTTCATTCACTTTCAACATTGAGGGTAAAAATAAAGTTTGAGTTGAATTGTTCGTAACGTATTAGTTCCTGTTTCAATGCAAATCGATATTAATAATAAAGTATTCAAGTTGCGTTTTTCATTTTCCTACACCTAGTGCCGCACCTCAATAAATCATTTTCTGCTTTTTGCATGAACGTAGAAAAAATGTTGTATGCAACTCGTGCAATAAATATTCACTTTTTGCACTTGTTGCATAAATAACTATTATTGTTTTTAAAGGCCCGTCTCAACCAGATATTAATTTTTCAAAAGAGAAGTTTCTCTAATTTTTATTAATCACAGAAAAGTCATGCTGGGCAAAACATTATTCCAAGAAAATGGTTTTGTTATTCACCCAAAGAAAATAAAGCGTATTGTGACCCTAAATGATTTTGGCGGGGAGGGGGGGCAAAATATGAAGTTACTCCACTGCATAAATACATTTTTATATTATTCAAAAATGACTATAAGTAACATGATATGTTGCATAAGTTGTTTTTCATATAATCCTAAAATTTCTGAATTCTCAATTAACCATGATTAAATTTGTTTCTTGAATCCAAAAAAACTCATTTTTTATAAAGAAGGAGGCAATTTATTGTACATTTCTTCACCTATATGAATGGCATGTTGGTGCATCAAAGTTGAAGAAAATTTCTCAGTTGATATCCAACCATCAATTTTATTTTTGGTGTCATATTTATGTTTCACATGATTATAGAATTGTAAATGTTTTCTTATGTATATTGTTGATGTTTTATAAAACAATTGATCAACAGATAAAATGTTATAATGTTCAAAGAGGATTTTGGAAGAATAATCAAAAGTTTTTTTGAAGATAATTTTCAAGGTATATTTTTGAATTGATATAAGTGGTTTCAACGCTTGTTTATATAGACCTCCCCAGCCTATTATGCCATATAAGCCAAAATAGATTGAACAAAACTATGATTGAAACTGCAAAGTAGTGCTAATTTACAGTTGACACAGTAAATTAGGAGGTGTTTTGAAAAACTGTTATAATGAGGCAGAAGAAACTTTTTCTTGATATCTGCTAATTTTACAGTTGAAACTGTTTTAAAAGAAAGTTTTCTCTGCCTTATTCACAGTTGCAACTATGAATTAGGAGATGTGTAGAAAAAAAATCTCATTTTAATTCACAGTTGCAACTGTTCAGTAGGCAGAAGGAATTTTTTTAAATATCTTCCAATTCACAGTTGTAACTGTAAATTAGCGATAATTAACAGTTGCAACTGTCAATTAGGCAGAATATATATTTCTTAATATCACCATATTCACAGTTGCAACTGTTTATTAGCCCTAATTTACAGTTACAACCGTAAATTGGGAGATATTGAAAAAAGTTCCTTCTGCCTAATGATCCGTTGCATCTGTAAATTAGAATAAGATTTTTTTTCTACACATCTCCTAATTCACAGTTGAAACTGTTTTGAAAAAAAGTTTTATCTACCTAATTCACAGTTGCAACTGTAAATTAGGTAATATAAAAAAAGTTTCTTCTGCCTAATTTACAGTTGCAACTAGAAATAAGGCAAATGTTCGTCGAAAAAAAGTCGTAATTTCCAGATCATCAGTGATTATATCACTTTTGATTATGCATAGTATATGCGAGTGGACATTTTTTTTTTATTTGTTAAATGGAATCATGAAATACCGTTCAATTCCAAATTTTTTAAGAATTTTTCGGTCGGTTTTTAGGTGCTAAAATCATCAATAATGACTGGTAATTTACGAACGGCTAGAAATTTACCGCCAATAAAAACTGACGTCACGGTTTTGTAAGTAGGGGCAGACCATAATAATTGCACAGTTGCTATGAGTTGAAATACGATTGGGAACTTCAGAAATATAAGTTATTCAATAATTCATAAATTCTCAATTGATCGAGTATTGGTAATATTCCTAATCAGCAATAAAAATTCAATTGTCTCAAAATGTTCCATTATGATTTGTGACTTATTGCTCAAAATAAATTTGTGTAAATAATAATTATATTAATTCCCACTAGAGGACATTTGAATCGGTCAACGTGACAGCCCCGCGAACGACTTGTGGGCGTGGTCTTGTCAGTTCTCAGCATTCAGCACAATGTTGCCAAGTCTCCAACATCCACATGATATTTTGTTAAGGAGAATAAGAAATAATAGGACATGCTAGTTGCTCGAAAAATTCAGAAATGAACTATAATGTCACGAGTTCCTATTATGTTTTATTCAACGACAGGAAACTCCTTTTTGATAACTTGATTATAATTGGTGACTCGACAACATCGCTTCATGAGTGGAAATAAAAGATTATCTGACCAATAACTTCAGAGAACTTTTGTTGTGGACTGGTCTACTCATTGAGAAAATATGATCATGTCTCTTAACAAAATCATAGAACTGAACTGGTTGACAATGAAAAATCGTACGAATTATAATCTTTGCAACTTTGTGTATGAAGTTCTAACTTCCAAAACTCCCTCGTCACTATATAATAAACTGTTTCGTAGGTCTACGCTACATTCATTCGATCTAAGAACAAAAAACAAGTTTCATGTTCCTCGTCATAAAACGTCATTTTTCCAGAAGTCGTTCACTTATCTCTCCGTCAAATTCTACAACTCACGTTCGATCAATTGTATGCAATTTTCGAAAACAAAAATGAGAATCATTCATTCTGAAACAAAGGTGCGTTGCACATTAGTTTTTGTGTCTGGTATATGCACAACTAGTGAAGTTCCGGAATCCTCGATATTATTTAATGTCAAATCGCAAAATTCTTCTCGACGACAGGCTCCAAAAACACCAAAAATCGCAGCAACTTTCTGCATAAGATATAATTATTTCATCTGGGGCTTCTGCGAGAAATTTGTCGATTTGTTCTCTTGTCAATACTTTTGACTTTTTCGGTCGATATCCTTCGCCCTGCTTTCGCTTCCAAAGCCACAAGCTTGTGATATCTGCTTATGTCATGATCATTTATGTTCATCATCGACTTTAACATAGAGTAATTCGACCAAAGCGTTGGCGATTTCCATATTATGGACTTTTTCAAAGTATGCTAGAAGCACTTTTTCACTGGCCTCCTTTCCACTGACTTTTTTCTGATCCCACCATTTTAAGAAACGTTCGTATGAAAGCTCGTACTGTCGCTTTGGCTTACTAGGCAATAATACAAAATAGATATTTACGTAATCAGTTAGGAAACGCGTTGTTTTGTGTAACGATGGGATTTTGCGAGACGAGCGAAGCGAGATCCCGCAACATTACAGAGTTACACAAAATGGCGTTTCCTAACGTGTCACGTACAATATTTTTTCTAATTTTGACGAAACATTTCGCATGAACAAAAATAATGACCAGTTTTACATGAGTTCTGCCGACTCTTGTTGTGTGAAATGAATGAATGAAATGAACATTACATCACCAGTTATGTAAAATTTTACTTTACGCAACTGGTTACGTAAAGTAAGACGTTTCAAAACTTCCGTCAGTTTTGAAAAGTGTCACATTACATGTCAAAATTAGAAAAACAGCTTTATTGGCAGCTTCTTCAATTTGCGGCGGAAGAACTTCATTTTCCTGGGCACTTTCCATCGAGGAACGAAGAAACGAGAAAGAATAATTCGTGATTTATTGACGTTAGTTGTCAAGAAAGATAAATCAACAAATTCAGCTTTTGTTTACCTTGGTAACTTGTTTCATGAATAGATTAGCTTGAATTCGATTCATAACTGATAATCTCGAGGTTATTTAATCAATTAATAAGTAATGTAAAATAGTTATGCGTTAATTTGGACTTTGGATATATGTGCTAAAAGTGTTTTTTCTTTTGTTCGAAGGGATGGAACACTTCGCCTTCGGCGTCGTGTCCCAAACTTCCCTTCTCAAAGAATAAAATGTCACTTTTAGCACTTATATCATAAATAACTATTTGAATACAATAACATGAACTTGAATGCCTTTCATTGAATTCTCTTGCGTCTTATTTCAGCCTTTACTTACCTCGTCACTTATGTCATATATCTACATACTTCTGTTATGAATTATTATTGTTATGTGTTACGTTTTATCATCTTCTCTTCTTTTCCATTTATCATTTCAGTTTACTTCAATTGTACATATATTATTAGGTTAAGTGTAAGAGTAGCCTTTGGCTAAACTGCGCCTACTATGTACCTTCACCAATAAACACGATTTATTATTATTATCATCATTATAATAACGAAACAGCATGAAAACTGACGTCACCATTTATTCGACGTATCGCCAAATGGCGGCCATGACGGTTCGTTTGAAATTAGCTCTGAAACTCCACGATTTTGAACAACGCATAGACTCATTATTTACATAAAAAACGTGAGAAGTGTTACAAAAATTAATTGAGGTTCCTAACGACTCAGTGGAGTAATTGAATGCCAATAATTCATTATCAGTTCACTCGCCCATCGTGTCCTAGGCTCGGTTCGTTGAGTTAGTTTTCAGGCACGTCCTTGCCGTTGTAATTTTAATGTTTGTCTTGATCCTATCAATTTTCTTTTCAGATACTCTAACTCCTGAACTGCCCTCGAAATTCGATAGACTCGCCTCAGAAAAACGAGTCAGCTTCGACAGCAACATAGCCAACTCCACGAAAATCAATCAGATGAAAAGGAGTCCCGTCAACGTGCTTCGTACTCAATCTCTAAAAGAAAATTCCACGAAGGAAACTGGATCTTTCCCGTCTTATCAAGGAGATCATTCGGATAACTCGGAGGAAACTGGATCCACGAACGAGGTATTTTCTTTTATATTAAGAGTGTCACAGAAAAATATAGGTACCTATACAGGGTGTCCCTCCGGGGACTGAATCAATCGGTATATGGAAAACTATTTTGCTAAAATGTTTTCAAGATGCCACCAGCGTAGATGAGCACAAAAAATAGTGGAATAGTAGAAGATATAGGAACAATACAGTACACACTGTTTTACCACTAACCAAACCGATTTTTTACACCTCGACACGTGTTAGCATCTTCAGGAGAAGATCAAAACTAAATGCTCTATCCTAGTGGGCTACTTATATACTAAGTACATGTTATATTACTAAACTATACAGAGGGCTAAACGGGATAGGTCCATTATCCTTATTCATTAGTCTACTATACTATTCAAAGAAAAAACAAAATACACCAAGTCGGTCGACCACAAAATTATATTACACAATTACTAGTGTGACTAGTTTCGGCTAAACAGCCATCTTCAGATACAAATTGAATACAGTACCTAGGCCATGTGGTGATTACAAATTCAACAAATAAAAATCAAGCGGTTATTTCAACGTAAATAATCAGTCCGGTAAATTATTTATTTATATTATTTACGTTGAAATAACCGCTTGATTTTTATTTGTTGAATTTGTAATCACCACATGGCCTAGGTACTGTATTCAATTTGTATCTGAAGATGGCTGTTCAGCCAAAACTAGTCACACTAGTAATTGTGTAATATAATTTTGTGGTCGACCGACTTGGTGTATTTTGTTTTTTCTTTGAATAGTATAGTAGACTAATGAATAATAATATAAATAAATAATTTACCGGACTGATTATTTACGTTGAAATAACCGCTTGATTTTTATTTGTTGAATTTGTAATCACCACATGGCCTAGGTACTGTATTCAATTTGTGTCTGAAGATGACTGTTTAGCCGAAACTAGTCACACTAGTAATTGTGTAATATAATTTTGTGGTCGACCGACTTGGTGTATTTTGTTTTTTCTTTGAAAAAATCTGGACCACTTTGAGAAGGATGGATGGTTTCCATGACTTACTATACTATTCTTAAATATCTCTAAGCTTTCATAGGCATCTAATTTTCTAACGTTTTTAACTTGCTTAACTAATTTGAGGTTATTAATATGTGTGCTATGATTGTGATTGAACATGTGTTCGGCTACACACGATTTATCTAATTTACCATATTTCAAATGTGCTAATGAGTGACGATGAGATGAATTGTATGCGCTCTCAGAGGGTACGGGGCCCTTCATTTATTGAGAACCCGTTTTTCATTTACAAACTCGATTTTTCGACTATGGGCATTGTCAACAATTCCTCAACTAGTAGCATCACATTTTTTTCCAACTTCAAGTAAGTCAAGAACAAATTATGTAATTCTTTCACATCAATCTTTTTGTATTGTAAAACTTTCAATTAGGCTGAAGAAGGTCTTTTATAAGACCGAAACACGTCCCTTATGATTTTGTAACAAGATCATGGAGAAAGCTATCAACATCGAGCTCATGGAATACCTGGAACATTCAGGTATTATCAACGATAGGCAATATGGCTTCCGTCATCAGAGATCAATTGGTGACCTGCTCGCTTACGTCTCACATACCTATATGGCAGGTAACTATTGAAAAATATGGTGAAACCTTAGCCGTGGCACTTGATATTTCCAAGGCATTCGATCGAGTCTGGCAACACGGACTCCTCGCCAAGCTTCCATCTTATGGCTTGCCTCCCCAGCTCTGCTAGCTAGTTTTCTCTCATCAGGTCTCTCCATGTAGTGGTCGACGGAGTTTCATCTGACTCTCTCATCATAAATGCTGGTATTCCACAAGGATAAATTCTAGCACCAACATTATTTCTTCTCAGTACACAGCTTCGCGGATGATAGTACCCTCCATACCGCCTTCTCTTCCAGGGCTCCAATACCAGCAAATCATAAAAGAACAAGGTAGAAATGTTGACAACATAAATATGGACTTGGCAACAATAATTCTCGAGTGGGGATCGATCCAATAACTTGGTAGATTTCAATGCAAACAAAACACAAGCATGCCTTTTTGCACCCCTTCGTGGTCACTTTGGAGACCTGCAGAACATCTCTTTCCAAAGACTCGTTCATCCAACGAACAGCAAGGCTCTGGAACACATTGCCAAGGGAGGTGTTCCCCGAGGCATATAACCTCCAGAAATTCAAGGAGAACATCAATTCCTACCTTATTTCCCTTGGTTCTCACGATGTTCTCTGAACATCATTGTATATCCCTTTTCGTGGAAACCAGAATATAAAAAACAAAAAAAACACCATTAAAGTTTGTGGAGATGACTTCGAGTATTCCTTTATTCCTTTAATATAGTTTCGAGGTAAATTCGACATTGCCTCTCTAACTATTTTATCTCTCATTTGGCTATCAATGAAAATGTTTTCGATAAATTAGAGGATCGGATAGTACTCGATGGAATCTCTTCAAAATGAGGTATCGCAACTAACACCCCTCATCCCTTTTCCGTGGGTTGTCTTTCCCCCTGGTAGGGGGTTGAAAATACGGGGATGAAAAAAGCAGACAAGTCGGTCCTCCTCGAATCACAAATGTACGAGCCCGATAGTTTGTCCGGATTTTCATTTCAAAGCCCTAAAATAGGAGTATAAAGTTTTTGTTTGACCTCCCTGTATAGACTCTAGTTCAGTTCGCGGCATCAGGCATTGATCAGGCGATGCTTTGTGGAATACAATCTCTATTATTGGTCCCTACACAATGACACCTGTCGGCTGGAAACGATCAAGAGAAATGCTCTTATTTCAGACTGAAATAGGAATTCTGGAGTGTTTATTGTGCAACTTACGCGAATAACTTTCCAGAGGAAATTTGATATATCTATGCTCATCAGTGGTGGAGATATGATTGGTTCGAGATGACAATGAAAGTCTCATTTTCAGTAGAGTGGAGAAGGGCAACTTTCATTCCATGTCCTGATGGCACTTTGACCTTGGGAAATGGAGCACTCCAATAATAATTTGCACTTATACAGGGTGTTCCTTAATGATATGCTGATATTCAAGGGGCCGATTTTTCGACCCACATCAAAAATAAAACTTCACATGAACGTATGTCGTAAACGTGCTAACTTTTGAGATAAATGTTGAAAATATGCACAGTTTATTTTTTTGTCCACCCTGTATAGCTTTTCGTGATGGCAAAATTCAGTCTGCTATGTTATCCAGTAATGGATGTACTCAAAATTTGAAGTCTAGTCTCATTTTTTCGTTTTTTCTCGAAAACGAAGCGTTCTATCGAGTATCGACAGGAGGATCTTCTTTGTACATTATTAATAAGCCTTTTATGACATTGTATAAAACTTGAAAATGTTTTCTCGTTGCTCACTTTTAAGTAAAATATAGTAATATATACAATATTGTTGCGTGTTTCTGTAGTTTTTGAACTACTTTTTTTTTCAGTTGCAGTACGCCCGCGAAGAGACGGCCCCCGCACCGGACCCTGTGGAACTCTGCGACATCGAGCCGATCAGCGGGACGGTGTTCAGGAAGGTGACGGTGCGTAGGAGGCGGCAGGACGAAGGCAGGAAGATATCCTCCTCGGAAGGCGGTAAGTGATGAGTCTTTATAGTCCCACGGAAAAAAGGATTTGTTGCATCAAATAGTTATTTATTATACAAGGGAAAAAAGTAGTAGATTTTAGCTCCAGGTTGTGTTGTGAGCTAAAATCTAATTTTTTTCCCGTGTATAATACACTATTTTTTTCTGTGACAGAAGAAAGGACGAATCAATATTGAGAAGATATTACATTATTTTGAAATCTGAAAATTATCGACGTGAAATTTTAAGTTTTTAACAGTAGGGACACCTGCGTTGTAGGCATCTTTATCATTCTTTTGAAGCAATCAAATATCTGATGTCACTTCTGTCAGTCTAATTCTGTTATTTGATATGAAAAAATTGCGAATTGAGTGGTTGTTCAGTAACATACGTAACCGCGGAATCGAATGGATGATAAAAGGACTTCTTCTCTTTCTTTCTCGGAGACGGTATTATTGACTCATTTTTCGAAACTATAGCACAACAAAAGCCATCAACAGTGTATATATATGTGATATATATCCAGTAAGTTGAACTTTAGCTCCTAGGAACTAGAAAGGATGTACTAGAGGTCATCAAGAATAATAGTAGATTGTTTTATTAGGATCAAAAGTGACACTTTGTTTGACAAGCGAATTTTGCATTTGCGAGGCGTCCCACCCCAAACTTTTTGTGACTAGTTCCGGCTCAAACAGCCATCTTCAGACACAATACAGGCTGATTCACGGTGAATGGCACATTAGACGTTTCTGGTGAACCAGACAACGGATCATTTTGAAAATTTATTGGAGGGCATATTCGGACATTCTCTAGCCAACTAAAATATTTTCGACAATGCAGTGTTGCCGCTTCTATTAGAAAGCAGTAGCAACTTTGATTTTTCAAATGGAACACTCTGTATTTTATTGTATTCTTAGGTTCTCCCTGAAGAGCAGATTTCATCGATGTATCACACTTGGGGTCTAGCGGAAATGATTACAGAGATATAGGGTGTGAAAAATCGACATTTTTCAACTTTAGGAATTTTTTTTGTCGAAACTATGCATCATTGGTCAAAACGGCTCACATGTCCCTATCTCAACTTTTGATCAACTATCTACTAACATTTAATTGAAACAAATACAGGGTGGTGCAGAAATCAGAATCTTGATCACCCGGTATGTGTCCCAATTAAATATCAGTAGATAGTTAATCAAAAGTTGAGATAGGGACATGTAAGCCGTTTTGACCAATGATGAATAGTTTCGACACAAAAAAATCCTAAAGTTGAAAAATGTCGATTTTTCACACCCTATATCTCTGTAATCATTTCCGCTAGACCCTAAGTGTGATATATCGATGAAATCAGCTCTTCAGGAAGAATCCAAAAATGCAATAAAATACAGAGTGTTCCATTTGAAAAATCAAAGTTGCTACTGCTTTCTAATAGAAGCGGCAACACCGCATTGTCGAAAATATTTCAGTTGGCTAGAGAATGTCCGAATATGCCCTCCATTGAATTTTCAAAATGATCCGTTGTCTGGTTCACCAGAAACGTCTAATGTGCCATCCACCGTGAATCAGCCTGTATACAGTACCTGTGAAGATATTGGTTTACAAGAATAATATTATATATTGAGGAAAAAACATACCTATAAAAGGACACGTGGAGATCACATAATTAATAAAATTGAAATTTGAGAAGCAGGGTCATTTGGCCAAAAATTCAATCCGGTAAAAAAGTATTACTACTTTTGAACCGACTGAACAGCCAAAAGAACCCAACAATCATTAGATTCAACATTGGCAAAAAGTAGGGAAAAAAATTAGCAATAATTCAAATTTCGGAATTTTCAAGAAGATCCCAAGTGAACAAAAATTTTTTTTTAAACTTCGGCAGCAGGGAGATTTTTCAAATTGTTTTCTTATCTCTTTCATTTAAGGAGTGGTCACCAAAAATTAACTTTCTGGTTTTGCAGTCATAACTTTTCTCCTTGTCAACCCGTTTTTAAAATCTCGTTTTGAAGCTGAAACTTCAGATGACTCAAGGTGAACATTATACAGCGTGTCTCACTTCTAATGGAAGCACCCCTGTATATTTCGTAGTTGTTGAGTTAGGATTCTGAAACTCACAGGAGCGGGAGATATACTGAAAATAAACACTATGACCATGTGGATTCAACAGCCATGGAACCACCCAAATTTCCGAAAAATGTCATTAGGAGCCAAAATAGGTTGAAAATCACTTCGGATTCGAAATCAGGACGTCCAATTCACTAACTATACATATTTTTCCTGGAGAACTTTCAGTTCAGAAAAATTTAATTTTGTTCCACGTCTCATGGAAGCACCCCCGTGTCTCACGTAATTATTGAAATAATGTTCTGAAATTTGCAGGAGGAAGCGATAAGGACGTTCTCATTTTGAATCCGAAGTGATTTTCAACCTATCTTGCCTCCTTATATCATGTTTGTGGGTGATTCCATGGCTGTTATAGAGCAGTGTATATTACTGGATACGACTCCACTTGGCTATAGTGTGTATTTTCAGTATATCTACCGCTCTTGCAAATTTCAGAATCCTAACTCAACATTTACGGATGATACAGGGGTGCTTCCATTAGAAGTGGGACACACTGTACAATGTTCATCTTCAATTCTGATCTTTATATCTCTTCATCTGAAGTTTGAGCTTCAAAACGAGCAAGAGATTTCAAAAATCGGTTGACGAGGAAAAAAGTTATGACTGCAAAACCAAAAAGTAAATTTTTTGAGATCACTCTGTAAATAAAAGAGATAAGGAGACAATTCGAGAACTGCCCCAAGATAAGGAGGAGGAAAGGTTTTCTTCATTTTGAGATACTTCTGAAATTTCCGAAATTTTGCACAGTTTCAGGAAACACCATGTAGCGATTTTATGTGAAGAACCCTATGTTTTAGAGAATTACGAGATCATAGCTGAAGGACTGGGCTAGCGAACAGTGTGATCCGAATTCAAATCATTCAAAGCAGAAAAAAGTTATTCATATTTCAACAGAGGCAAAATTTTGGGGTTCATCATTTTTTCACATTGCGTTTCGCAAATATTTAGGAAATAATATCTTCAGGAGCCTTCATTAAGAAAGCGGTAATTATGGGACACCCTGTATAGCGACGTGCACACAGATAACAAACCATTAATTAGGAATCAGTGTCGTGCATCAATATTCATTAAATAGTAAATACTAGCTTGTACTTGTAAAGAAAGTAGTCCAAATCCTACGTTAATGTAATATCTCCTTTTGTTGTAACGTCCCACCATTTCAGAATTTGTAGAAGTGTTAAGTGTATCAAGTATCAAGACAGGAATCGGTACCATGCACAGAAATAATAAAGAGTGTCATGGATTAGGCACTAAGATATATTATATACGAGGGTATTTCAACATTCAGCCTACACCATGGAACCAACTGATTATTGATATTCGTAGTTAATTTCGACTATATTGGATATGAAAGAGGGTAACTTTGCTGCGTGTGCACTTGTATATACAAATGATTGTACAAAATATTTTATTTCGTGCAAAATAATGTATTTAATTTCCGTAGCAGAGCGATTTCGATTTTCCCTCAGTGCTTATACTCGTCAGGTTAACAAGAAAATAATGCCTGAAAAAAAAATCCTTGGACTTCAGTACTGTCAGTGAATCCACTGGGCTCTGCTGAAAATATGTGTTCCGAAATATAAAATCAAAAATACAGTGCCGTTAATTTGGAACACGTTATCATGGTTTTCATCAGTAGTCCGCAGCAGTTGACCAGCTGGTGTAATGTATCAGTCTGTAGTTTCTCGTTTATATAAAAATCTGAACTAGATATTTAGCCCTCTGCTTGATATAAATTTTGAAAATTCAATATTTAACATGAAAGAGCAATCGATCATAGTCATAGTCATGGTCAACAATCATAGGAACTATGGAGGCTACAAGCTCGAGTAATGAAGTATACTGTCCAAGTATACTACCAGATTGGGAATTGAAAGATTCATCAGCAGATTCAGTACTATCAGTTGAATTCGGAAAATAGCCTTAGTAACATCAACATAACTCTCAGATATATCGAATACTCGAATTTTCAAATATTTCTCATGGGTTGTAATATTTTATTATTCGTAAACGACTAATAGTAAATGTTTCAATTTTCAATTTTCCTCACAAAATCTCATTTGCCATGAAATGTTAAATTCCACGCAATGACAGCTCTGATGTCTGATAGATGAGATGAGCATTACTCAAGAGAAAATCAGATGGCTACAAGCCGAAGAAACCGTAAATTTCGCTGTTATCTGCTAAAGCCGTCGAAAAAGTATAGTGTGTAACTCGCACGGAATTTCCTACTACTATGAGTCCGTGCTCGTTGAACGATATACTTTTTCAACTTCGAAATTTGGTACAATTCACGTCCGAATGTCCCGAACCAAAAATAAGTGTCCTTGGGACGTCCCATCCCGTACATCTCATGCAATGTCCGAGCAAGGACGTCCACGCAATGTCCCAGCTGGAACATCATTTCAAATGTTCTGGAAATAGCATCCCTCAGACGTCCCACGTGGTACATATTGAAGAATGTCCATGCAAGGACGTCTTTGGCATGTCCCTGATGGGATATGATTTTATACGTTCCTTCAGGAACATCCATCGGATGTCCCGAGTAGTACATATTCTGGCATGACTTCAGATCTTATATAATGTCCCTTCTAGACAACCATGAAATGTTCCCGATGGTACATTCCTTCAAATATCTCTGCACAGGCGCCCTTAATATTTCCAGGATCGTATAACAATCGAAATGTCCCTTAGGGACATCCTTCGAATGTCCCTCAGGGATATCCGTCGGATGTCCCAATTGGTACAAGAACTTTACTCTTCCAATGTCCTTGAAATAACGTCCTATGGACGTCCCAGTCGGTACTTTCAATATGTTGTCCCTGCGAGGACGTTAACTTACACCTCGCCTACGAATGATTGCTCGTAGGCTATAAGTACTCCTCGTCA